ATATGCGTTTTTGCTGGCTGTAGCAGCGCTATAGCGCTGCACAGCAAAAACGCATAAAAATGAAAACAGGCGCTTGGAAATAATCAGTGGAATAGGACTTCGCCGCCAATATAGCCACCAGGATTATTGATGATCTCTTTTGCCGAGGCCTATCCAGAGAATTTTGAAGACGCTTTAATTTTTTCGCATGCTAAACGATAGTTTTACTATGGCTACGAATCAACAGTGCCTTTGGCTTCTCGCAGCGGTGGATTCGAGGCAGTAATTCGAATCTGAAAGTTACTACAAGACTGCCACCAGCACCCAAGAGACCAGTAAATTATCTAAGTTAGACAGACTCCGCTTCCTGGGCAAGATAAAAAAAAATTAATTTGGTGTGGTATGAATGCTTTCTGGATAGAGGCACTGCCAAGCGCGTTTCGTCAACCCTAGCTGGTATCCCGGCAGTTCCCTTCCTATTATGTTTTTGAAGTTACGATTACGTTTTGCGCTCTTGAAAAATCAGCAAGTGACCTGTAGCTTGTGTACTGCATCAGTAGCTCCAGAGGTTTCGGCGATAAAATCGAGCCAGTGTTCGTAGTCACGATTGGCAACAGTTTTGAATAAGCGTGGTAAACTCGTCATTGCTTCCATTGCCTTTCCTTCACTATGCAGACTGAATAGTGTTGGCGATAATATATTCACCTGTATCAGGCAGAGTGTTATTTTTCATCCTATATCATCACTGTTATCGTTGCACCAAATAAGACTTATGTGACTGCTCGATTTCTTGCATGGGAATGAAGTCTGACCGTAATGTAGTTTCTCTCGGTACCACTCCCAGGCAGCTCTCTCACTAGCAGCTTATGCCCCGCCCACCCCCGCCACCTTCCTTTCTAAAAGTAGAACAGACTAAGTTCTGCGTCCTTCTAAAACCATGCGAAATATTAATGAAATGAGCTGAAATAAACCCCGAAAACTGCATGTACTTGCTTTCACTTTGCACTCTCTGGTATCTACAATATGCTAGTGAACCTTACACTCAATCCCGCAAACGCCATTCATGACAATGGTGTTAAAAAAAAAATGCCACAACTAGCGGAGCACGCAGCATACTTGCTCAACAAGTTCACAAGATTGAGCTTTACTCAATTATCGCTAGCGTTTGTATTTCCACTTCTATTTATGATCGTGCCCCGAAAGTGTTCCTAACTTTTCTGCAGTTACGTGTGGCTCATGTACTTGCAACTACTGGTTAGGCTGATAGCGATCGTTTCACCTACAGTTTCTAAATACAGAGCAGTGCAGTATCATTTTTTCCTGTTAAAAGCTATAAATGACTGGCCTATTATTTTGCGATCATTCCATGCTGAATCCCTTTTGATGGGTTCCGTAAGGACTGATATTACAGGATGAAAAATAATACAGACTAACTTCCGGCGTAAACAAATTCGAGATGACAAAGTTTGTCAAAGTGCGTTGTAATGTACGCGGATCTGGTGATTTCGGTTTGCCACCAGTGAGAGGGGAGGGCATGCACCTAACACATTTTATCGTTATTTTCTGACAACATTTTTTAAACAGTTCTATCTTTTGGTGGAACTCTAAAACAGCTGTTTGTAAAGGAAATTTGTAGGTCTCACATTCGCTTTACAAGAAAGCGCTCTCAACTCTACGATTAGTTCCAAGGTGCACAAAATCACTAGTGAGTTGTTAATTGTTTCCTTCAAGCAGCACGAAGTAAGGCATGAGTAAACTTACTCGGTCGTTGTTCTCTTCATCAGGTACGATTGAAAGAAAGCGAGGTGAGGCGACTTTGATAGTTTTATTCGTTATGTCAGTCCTGTTGTCACCGCCAGCTACCATTGCCAGCTTAACAGCATCCCGGAACAGTTTTGATATCTCGAGCACTTCCTTCCTTTTCACCTCTTCCTGCTGCTCCACTTTTCTCGCTGAGATGCTCGGCCTTCCGGCTGTCTTTGCCTTCAAGTATTTTTCTGTTTCAACATACTTACTGGCTCAAACGAAATGTCTGTTTTACGTCCACGCAAAAAAATAATTACTGTATTGCCGTACTTTGTTTTTTATTCTTTTCCACTCAATCATCAGTTCAGTTCACCAAAGTCGTTGGTGTTCAATCCTCATTCTCTTTTCAGAATGAGAATGGGTTGAAGAAAGGCAGGTTTGTGCTATTTTGTTGATAGCACTGGACAGTCAGCGACTAGCCAGTGGCAATACCATCACTCCTGAGTTTCATGAAAGGGAAGCCGAAGCGCACTGTGTATACAAAATGCTCCAAAAGGTCAGTCTAACTTCTGTCCATAGAAAGGCAGATCCTCAAGTCACGTGTCTCGAGCCGTAAACAATCTGGCGAGTAAGAGTGCCTGAATAGCGAAGGAGAAGGAAAACCGAAAGCTAGCTCAGAAACCGTTGAGGCAGTCACAGTATCAGATGAAGCCCAGCAACAGCAAAAGTTGCATCCGCAGCAACAGTATTTTCATGGATGCCGAAGGAGCAGTGTGCATCTAGTATGCGTGTGTGTAAACTACACGAAAAACTTGTGCAGCTCTTCTTGGCAAAATTCTAATAAGACAAAATGCCGCGTGTGCGTAACGCAGCTATGATGCCTAGCCCATTAAGGCGTCATTCTTCGCTTTGCGTCAGTCGCGTTAGCACATCGCTGTAAATAGTTCCAAAACTACGGGAGCTACGGTTTCTTTAAAAGAGAAAAGTTACCTTGTAAGCTGCGAAATCAGCGCTTCCCTTGGTGCCAATGAATCGCCCCATGAAGTGCTCTTGCAGTCGTTTCTGAACACCGTACCGTTCATGCATACTTTCAATCTCATTAATCATCGACGCCCATCTAAGCGACCGTTTTTGCTAATTTGTTGATGTCTTATTTTAGAAGCCGCCCACGAAATTCGACCTGAGATCGTTTGGACGTTCAGTGTGTATAGATAATTTTCTGAACCATCTAAAACAGCCACGTAACCCGTTCTCGAAGGGCAACAACTATTTCTGACGATCCTAGAAGAAAAATTTTCTTTCTTAAATTCATCCGGAAAAAAGGAAAGTATTTTCTTGGCTTTATATACACTTCAGTATTAATAAAACGGGTCTTTCACTGTCATATAAAATAGCCGGCGGCTGGCGCGAATATGTAATTTTTATGCTTTTTTTACTGTGCAGCGCTATGGCGCAGCAATAGTAAGCAAAAACGCATACTGTCGGGAGGTCGCCCGTGTGTGTATGTGTGCATGTATATATGTGTTTGTTCGGAAGCGATTGAACTTTGTGCGCTTTCAACTCAGCAACCAGGAAAGCTGGGAGGTTGAAGTCATGTGGTCATATCCCCACCCCTGTGTCACCCTTTCGTTTTAAAATCATCGCTCATACGCGTTTAAATCTCGCGTACGGACCCCCGAAAACAATATGCAAATTTCCTATGCAGAAAACGATTTCGTAAACCAGATAAGACAGGAAACTAAAACTTTGCAAGGATATTTCCTGTGGTTATGTATGGGCTAAAGATTTCAAATTCAGCTATCGCACACGCTTACATCACATGTACGGTCACGTTCAACGTCGCAGTTGCCACTGTGCCAACTCAAAAATTAGCTGCAGAACAATAGCTGAAATTTTATAAGAATGTTTATTGTTCATATGGAAAGTCATACCTAAATTGAACTTCGATTTACACTTGCGTCACGATTCAGAGCACTTCAAGGATACTTGTAACGAAGTGGCTATTTCGCTTACCGGACAAGCTGTGAAGCCGAAACTTTGCAAGGATATTCTATATACATGTGTGGTCTTAGTTCAGCTTGGAGGTGAATTTCCCTGCACACATACATGGCAAATACCCAGTTTTATCGCATAATCAACAGCAAGTTCATTTTGTGGATTCATAATCCTCTTCCGACTTCCTTCATATTTGCATTTTTTCAATGAACGAGCATTCACCGGAAAAGCAACCGGACTTCATACAAAAAACCGATAATCATGCAAGTTGGAAGTTCATGCGGACCCGTATGGCAATACCTTCATCCCAACCGACACCCTCTTCCCCTGCATGCGGGAAGAGGCCAAACCACAGCCAATATGAGTCTAAGTGTCAAACTACAGCGCAAGAATCATTCCTGTTGCTAGCAATCTGCAAGTTTGGTAAAAAAATTCATAGTCGCACTGGCGAGCCTGGTGCGTTGCAGCCTACATTTAGATAAGTTCTCATTAGCATCAAATAGCTGAATACAAGAATTCGTCAGACTGAGCTTTTAATTTGCCTAGCGTATGAAAATACGAAAATTCTACATCCGTGGTTTACCGTCTTCTTTGTTTACTGCACCCGTTTGGCAAACAGTGGTTTTTATGCGTTTTTCCCTATATGCAAATTGTGAAAACGCATATTGCAATGACACTGTTTGTGTGCATGTTTGTGCATGTGTTTGTGTGTGTTCGTCTGCCCGGGTATTTCAACTCCGCAACCAAGCAAGTTCCAGCACCAAGATTTTGCCAGTAGGTTCCCCGACCAAGTGCCACCCTAGAACTTCGGCACCAACTCTCATGCAAGTCTGGGCTACGCGTGCGAGGGGGTGAAATTTTTGGCGGAAAAATTGATAACTCGGAAACGAGAAAAGACAGAAAGCTGAAACTTTGAGGTTATGTTCCCCGTCCGCATATAACTCAAAGATTTCAAATTCAGCCCCCAGTTGTGCGTGGTTTCCGCGTATAATCCCATAAGGATTCCTGGCGCGAAAATCGCTAGCTTGGGAACTAGGAAAACTGGGAGGCTGAAATTTTCAAGGAATGTTCCCACCACAAGTAAAACATAAACCCATCAAATTCAGCCCCCAGTCATAAGTTGTTCTCATGTACGGTCCCGTGAAATTTTTTGGCGGAAAAATGGCTAATTCAGGAACTAGCAAAGCTGAGAGGCTGAAATTTTCAGGGAGTGTTCCCAACCCATGTGTGACTTAAAATTATCAAATTCAGCCCCCAGGCATGCGTAGTTCTCACGTACGGCCCCGTGATACTTTTTTGGCGCGAAAGTGGCAAACTTGGGGAGCCAGAGAAGCTGGAAAGCTAGAATTTTAGAAGAATATTCCCCGTCCAAATACAATCTAAAGGTTTTAAATTCAGCCTCCCTGGTTCTCGTGTACGGGCACTTAAATTCTTTGAACAGCTGGGTAGTTTTCAAAACATGGCCGCTGAACAGGAATTGTTTATTTCCTTTTATGCAAAATTTACGATGATTTACGGTATTGAGCGCGTATGGTAGGTGTGAAGAAACAATCGCTCATGCAGTTAACCTAATTCAAGTTTGGTGCAAAAACGCATGATTGCACCGGTTCGCCTCGTGCGTTCCAGCCTGGGTTATCAAATTTTTCCGTGCTCGTCTTGCGTGCGGAAAAATCTCAAAATTTCCTGTTCTTGGCTCTGTCGACTCTCAAATCATAAAGTTAGTTTGAATTCAGGTCTGTAATCATACATCAGATTGCAGTAATGATTGAACCATACTGCAGACCTTCCCCTCAAAAGTGTTTGATGTATTGCTGCATTGTCTCAAATTTTCCAGCTTGTATTGTTTTGGCCTTCAGATTGTAGTATAATCTATAATTTGGACTGAGATTATTATTCGAGCTATCAATAAAACAAATAAGCTTTTTGCTTCAAATTTTTTCACTGTGTGATTTTTCAGTTTTTGGGAATATTAAGGCTGAAATTTGGAGTTGAATTCTGAGCACAGAAATCACTGATGACGCACAACAGGCAGGCCGCTACGATAATGCGTTTTTGCACTATTTCGTGCTGTAGTAGGATCGCTTAGAACCCCAGAAACTAGAATTTGTGACTTACTGGTCCTCGAAGTTCAGCTGTATGGTGTATCAATTATCGATGTCGGCTTCAGCGGCCCAACAAACAGAAAGTTGTTGGTGCGCAAAAAAAACCCCACGAAGAACACCAGTTACTTCTTGTGCGCACTACTTTTGCTGTAGCGGATACGAGTATCGCTGGTATTATGCTGTAGTGCAACTTTGCACAATCATGTAATCTTGGGGAGCACAGCCCGTATCCAAAATTGAAGTGCACCATTTCCCATTAAAATTAGGAAACAGAAGTATTCTAAGCCGTCGTCCACACGAAGTGAATGAAATCTCCTGTGACGCCGTCTTTAAACGTATTGGTCTTCATCACCAGCATATTTTCTCGTGATACTTTTCTCGTTTCCTAATTAACAATTTTTTCGCCAAAATTTTCACGTGTCCGTGCGTGAGACCCAGACAGTTTTGAGTGCCTGAATTTGAAATCTTTTAATCGTACATGGGTATCATTAAACTGTATTTGAATAGGGGAGATTCCATTAAAACTGCAGCTTTCCACATTTTCTGGCTCCCGAATTAGCAATGTTCCCGTCAAAATTTTCACATGCCTACACTTAAATACTACGTTTGCCTGAGTGCCGAACATGAAATCTTTACGTTGTACTTGGACCGGGAAAATTCCGTTAAAATTTAAACTTTCCAACTCTCAGCCATTTCTCGAGTTGACAGTTTTCCCGCTCAAACTTTCACGTGCCAGCGCGTGAGTGCCATGCGCACCTGGGGATTGAATTTAAAATAATCTCTAAGCTGTAAGTGGACAGGGAATAGCTTCTTAAACTTTCAGCTTTCTAGCTTTTCTGGTCCCTAATGTACAATTTCCATTTTTCCTCATGTAAGACTCAGAAGTGTTGGAGAGCTGAATTTGAAATCTTTCGGTTGTACATGAATAACGAACATTTCCTTAAAATTCCAGCTTTATAGCAATTTGCCCGCCAAAACTTCCGAGTTAGCAATTTGCCCGCCAAAATTTCACATGCCCGGATATAAGACGTGGGCGTGCGTGGTAGTTGATATCACGTTCCTGAGGCCGCATTTAACCAGAAAGCATACTGGCAAAATTGTAGCATCAAAGCTTGCGTGGTTGCTGAGTAAAAATACTCGGACAAATAATCGCACAGACAGGGTTGTTGAAATATGTGTTCTTTGAAGCTCTCTAGCGTTGCATGGAAGACGCATAAAAAGTGGAAATTGAATCCAGTTTATGCCTCGTATATGGGCAGAAGTATTCTCGCACGCTTTCGTAGTTCTGGGTCAAATTATTCGGGCAAGTGCACACAAACATATACACAAGCATACGTACAGACGTACAAATAAGCACAAGCAGATATGCGTACGTATAGAGACGTTTGTTTGCTACAGCACATCTTGCATAAATCACCTTTGTAGGACCAAATAAAAATCTGACATCTATTCTGGACTTAGAAAGATCGTTGGCAAGTTCATACTAGGGTGGCACATGCTTTTTCTTTAGTACTTTTCCAGCCCATTTGATGCCTTAATTTAATGCTCCCTGGCTCATTTTATTACTGCGCATTTGACAACGGCACACTAAACTCAGTTTTTTAAGCTAAATTTTTATTTTACAGTCCGACTTGCAACACTTTTCCCTAGCACTGAATAGGCAATCGATAAAACCAGTGGCAAAAGCTGGAAACATACGAAGCACGAGGATGCTTGTTTTTGATCCTTTTCACTGTCTTTGATAAGTATTTGCCGATAATCCCGATCGGTGTCATGTGCTCGTATTCACTATACAACTTGAAATGTTGTCGGCTAATAACACTTCGCCTTGTGCGATATTCAGGGCGACTGAGATGCAATAATGCTCCAAAAGTGTTCTTACTCCGTCCAAATAATAAGTTATTAAATCTGTGAATCCGGCCGCCTGGAATTTTTCCACTTAAATTGTAAATATTCTTTGCTAAAATAGGTTCTGTTTGTATCTCTACTGAAGGATCACGGCCTTCTTTTCTGGTTCACTACTTCACTACTGACCGCAATCCATCACTTCGACCAGATATATGCCAAAATCTTTAGCACTATCCAAATTTTCCTTTCAAACCACGTGAAATAACACGTGTTTTTTATGTGTTTTTTTCATCTATTCAATGCAAAACGCATACTGATGAAGGTTTGTCTGTGGGTTTGTCTGTGTGTCAATGTGTGCGTTTATACCGATTTTTTATCTCAAGACCTACAAAAGCTGCAGGGCTGAAGCTTTGACAAGTTAATCTACATGCGTGTACGGGCCACCATCTCCGAAATGAGTGCTCTTATCAGCGTGGTATCCACGTACGGCTCCCTGTTAGCTAGTTTCAATTATCTTGGCTAGAAGCATTCGCCGGAAAAACCGGTGACTTTAGAAACAAAAACCTGCGGGGAATTATGCAAAAAATGCATCTTCACAACAGCAGTCGGTGTGCAGGCCATTTATTAAAGCTATGTGGTATACACAGCAGCGTAAAAATACTTCTGTTAGATTCGGCAATTGATGGAAATAAGCAAGCTGATGGACGGACGAGTACCCTGATCAGAAAAATTTTTCCTCCTGTGAGCAGAACAGTAAACGCTTTTTTATTTTCCAACACATTAAACGCCTTCACTACAGTGACGACTCAGCCTGTGTGTGTATTCGTCTGTCCAGTTGTTTTAATTCCGTAACCAAGTAAGCTCAAATGCTGAAACTTTATGTGTGTGTTTCTACGCCAAGTGCGATCATAAGAGCGAGTTATCAACTTTTACGCAGGCTCATGTTTCACATACGGGAATGTGAAATTTTTAGCTGGAAAATTATTAAAGAACCAGAAAAGCTAGAAAACTAAAAGCAGTCAGAACAGCTAGGAAGCTCAAATTTTATTCGTCAAAACAGCACACGTAACATTATTCAAATTTCACTCTCAGTGACACAAGGAAGAAAACATGAGGTCGTTAACTGTATGAATAGTTACTGCTTTACACTAACCTTGTTCGCCCACTAGTGCAAATCATCGTAAGTTTTGCATAAAGGAAAATAAACAATTTCCGTCGAACAGTCGCTCTTAGAAAAGAATCCGGCTGTTCAGTGAGTAGTTTTCCCGCCAAAAATTTCAAGTGCCCATATGTGAGAACCATGCATACGTGGGGGCTGAATTTGAAATCTTGAGCTTTTACGTGGTCGAGGAACGCCCCCTCAATTTTTTAGCCTCCCGGCCTGTTTGGTTCCCGAGTTGGTAATTTTCCTGCCAAAATTTTCACGCGCCCGCGCGTGATTACCAAAACTGCTCGGGAGTGAATTTGAAATCTTTAACTTGCACGTAGACGGGGAACATCCCCTTAAAATTTCAGCTTCCCAGCTTCTTCCTGTTTCCGAGTTATATGAATTAATGGGCCGAAAGGTCTTATCTCACTGTTGCCTTCTTTTCTCATACTGTTGTTCCTTCATGCTATAATCTATCGTACCTTCGCCATTTAGGCTCTCAGCATCAACCTGGTTACTAAAGTCGGCTCGACAATTTTCCCACCAAACTTTCATCCGCTTGTACGCGTAGCTCAGAAGCGCATGAAGATTGGTACAGCGCTCACGGGGTAGCACTTAGTCGGGAACCCACTGGTTTCAACGCCGGAGCTTGCTTGGTTGAAGGGTTGAAACACTCGGACGGATGCACATATACACTCACATACACACACATACAAAACATACCATGGGTTGTCACAATATGCATTTTTGCACTTGCATACGTGAAAAAACGCATAAAAACACTTTCTGTGAAGCTTCTGCTGGATTTATGGGATCGCAGCGAAGCAAAAATAACGAAAATGTTTAGCCTAACGTTTTCCGATGTGCGTTCGTCGTGAATCGACGTCGATCACTCTGATGACGCACTTAGCATGTTGATAGATATCTTCAGCGATCTTGGAGCATCTGTACAAGCGACTCCTCTCATATTCGTTCAAATTTTCAGCACTAAAATAAAATGTCTTAGTTTTAACTATCATCTGTCCTTTGTCTTTGAGAAAACTATAAAACATTACAGACCGCTGCTTAGCAATGGCAGACATAACACTACTGATCCCTTGATGTATCCAGCGCTCGTACAGTTCCATTCCAGCTTCCGTAGATATCGGGATATTCAGCTTCTTACCATCGTAGTATTGTGCGCCGGGCATCGTCTCCCGCGTGAATTTCTTCAAGTCGCAAGCTATTCGCCCTATAAAAGCCCATGTTGAGAGATACGTGTGCACTAATTATGTTGATTAACCCGCTTTCTCATTTGCTGTAAAATAGCTATCCACAAAAAAAGCTGAAAAATTTTTAATGTGAGAAAATTGCGGATGAAACGCAATGCAAAAAAGGCGGGAGTGAGAGTTAAACAAAGTTAAGTAATAAAAGCTGGAGCTGAAGAAATGATCCAGATGATGGCTTCGCTTCATATTGGCAAAACCGATTTTGAAGAAATCCGATTAAAGATGACGCACGCAAAGCAAGAAAACATATGTGTAGATGTAGCAAACAGCGATATTTCAACAGGACCAGATGTTTGATAACAGTTCTATGCTAAACATCGTCTGATCGCACATTTAAAATAAATAGCGGCGCGCACCAGGGCAGCCGCTGTGATCACGCGTTTTGTGCAAATCCGCTCACCGAAAAACTGCCGGCTAATGGTTTTGCACTTCCCCGCCAAAATTTTCATGGGGCGTAGGTAATGCCCGAAGGTGAGGGAACGCTGACTTTGAAAAGACAAGGTCGAGCGTGGGCAGGGGACCATTACATTAAAATTTCAGTTTCGTATATTTAGCGGTTCCGGAGACAATAATTTACCCGCAAAAATTTTCACGGGGTTATTCGTCTTACCTGCTGGCAGGAGAAGACTGAATTTCAATTTTCTGGGTCGCGAGTGAGCAAGGGACACTCCTACGAAACTTCAGCCTTCTAGTTTCCGTGATTCCCGTGATAAAAATTTTACCCGTCCAAACTTTTATGGGGCCGTACGTGTTACCCGCGGGCACGGGAAGGCTGAATTTAAACTTGCGGGGTTACACGTGGGTGGGGAACGCCCCCCTAAATTTTCAGCTTCCTAGTTTTTGTGGCTCTCGAGTTGAAAGTTGCGGACAAGTTGCTGCGGACACACACACGCAAACACACACACACAAACAACCCCGTGGCAATATGCGTTTTTTACCGCTGTTACACAGCACAAAGCGCATAATAAAACAGCATAATACACATATACATATTTATATACGTACACAACCACAGGAGCAGTCGAAATACTGTTAACTGCTTATGAATTTAACTTAGTCGACAGTGCACCGGCTGCCGGTGCGAAGATGCGTTTTTTGCACAGCTCCCTGCAGGTTTTTGTTGTTAATGGCGCTGTCTTTTCCGACAGATGCTTCTACCTAAGCTAAGAGAATTGAGAGCAGCCACCACGACTGTTAAGAATTATCTCAGTGATTTCCAATCATTGCCCAGAAAATTAAGCACTCCTAGTTGCTTTGGTTGCGGAGTTACGTCAAATTTCACGTTTTCATACGTGAGTGGCAACGTGCTGCTGTCTCCGTGCGCGCCTTCTCGAACATGATCCTGAACCACGCTCAGAAAGTTTCAGCACTTCAGATGCTCTGGTAGCGGAGTTATGTCATATTTCACGTGCTCGTGAGAAATGAAAGAGAGGTGAAAGTTGTTTTTACGTGCATCTAGTCAATCGCCACCGTCGGCTACGCTTGTTGCTTCAATTTTGAAGTTGTAAAATTGCCTGCGTGAAATTTTTACGTGTGCGTACGTGAGATGCAGAGAGGCTAGGAAGCTTAATTTACTTTCACTGACAAAACAGTGAATGACAAGTAACGTCGCTGAACTACACCTCTTCCCAACTTCTTGTTCAGCTTAAATCTGGAGTTGGCATGATTCCAGTCTGAACTTTGACGTGTGCGTACGTGAGATCTAAGGATGCGTGAAGGCTGGATTTGAAATCTTTGGGTTAGACGTGGCCCAGGAACATTTCAGTGAACTTTCAGGCTCCTAGCTCGCGCCATTCCTGAAAGCACTTTCCCGCCAAAGAAGCTTTCACGTGCTCCTACGTGAGAGCCACGCGGAAGTGAGCACCCATTTTGAGGGCACAGTATCTCACGTAGGTGTAGATTAAGTTACCAGAGTTTCAGCCTTGTAGTTTTTGTGAATCTCGAGATGATAACTCGTTACAGACGCGCACACAGAAACACACACATACACACAGACAACCCCTCGACGATATGCGTTTTTGCATTGCATAGGTGCAAAAAATGCATAAAAACAATACAAACGGCGAACCCCTACATCTCCCGTTTTTCTAAGCAGCAAACAAAAAAAAAAAATCTTTAGCTTATCGAATAAAAACATATCGTCGGCTTAATTACTGATATTTTGTGAAAATTGCATTTTTATGCGTTTTTACTGCGAGCAAAAACGCATAAAAACACGATTGTCGTTCTCGAGAGTCACACATGTGTGTGTGTTCGGAAGCGAGTGAACTTTGTCGCCCACTTTCAGATCATCAACCAGGAAAGCTGGAGGCTGAAATGTTTGGATCTTATTCCCACCCCTGTGTCACCCTTCTTTTTTAAAATCTTCGCTCATACGCGTTTAGATCTCGCGTGCGGATCCCCGAAAAACAATATACAGATTTCTTTGGTGGGAAACGATTTCGTGATCCAGACAAGATAGAAAACTAAAATTCTGTGGGGATATTTAATGTGCATGTATGAGCTAAAGGTTTCAAATTCACGTTAAAGGTCAAAGTTAGCAGTTACCATTGTGCTAACTCAAAAAACTAGCCGGGAAACAGTATCTGAAATTTTGTCAGAGTATTTATTATTCACATGGGTACCCAATCGTGTACCTAAAATGAGTTTCGATTTGCACTTGCGCTACGTCACAAGGCACTCCAAAGATATTTGTAGCGAAGTGGCTATTTCGCTTACCAACGAAGCCGCGAAACTGAAACTTTGTAAGGATATTTCATACTCAAATGTGGCCTTAATTCATCTCGGAAATGAAATTCCTCATACGCACGCATGACAAATACTCAATTTTATCGCAAAGTGCATTTTGACACTCATCGGACTTCCCAAAAATTTGCATTTTTATGTGTTTTTGCACACATGTGAATTGCAAAAACGCATATTGGGAAGAGGCTGTTTGTGTATGTGTGTGCTTGCACTTTTTGTCATCCACTTGCAACTTGAGAACCAGAAAACCTAGAAGGGTGACACTTTGGGGATATGTGCCTACGCCATGCGCGACCCTCCCGTTTTAATTTCATCCCCCCGTGGAGGCCTGGGTACGGCGTACAGACGCTTTAAAAAAATCTGCTATTTTTTTTGGCAGGAAAGCGATCTCGGGAACCACATGAGCTAAGGGGCTGGAACTTTGTAGGGATATTCCCTGTGCATGTACTAGCTAAAGATTTCAAA